ACATGCTACATTGTTTTTTTGTTTTTTTTTGTTTGTTTTTTTTTACAAAGGATAATTTAAGTTAATTTGTGTTGAAAAACCATAATGAAAAATAAAAAGGTAATAACTAAAATGTGGTGAATGTTTTAAAAATCATTATGGTAAATATTTAGGTTCACATGAACATTTTGACAGCCCTAAAAATACATTTTGTAAAATCTTTTTTCTCCCAAATTTTCTGCAGCTACCCTGGAAGTCTCCAGACTCCATTTTAGCTTAGTGCACCTTTTAATGTTAAATAGGATAAATAATAATTCATTTTCTATTTTCTACAATTTTCTCTCTCCTGTTGTGTCAGCTTGGGCTATCCAGATCCAACGTACTTGAAATCAGTGAAGAAGAGTCTCAAGGTCAAAGGGATCAAATGAGAGAGGATGGACTATAATTACTATGACTGTTGATTCCCAACCTCATCACGACCCTGCATGATCAAAATATGGAAATGGATGTGGCATGATTAAATGGAGTTTGTCCAAATCTAAAGAACAAGGCTGATCAGTTTGAGTTTATGAGGATCTTTATATGCCAGAAACTGAGTTGCAAAGATGCACATGGCGACTTGTGAGATGTAGTGCATTTTCTATTAAACAGAGGAGTTCTAGCATGAAGTAAGACAGTATTGTATTCACTGCAAGCCATTGTACAATGTTTGCTTAAAGTGCTTTTAAATCATTTTAAATTCAAATTAAAAACGAATTTAACCACTTTCTGGATTTTTTAAATGAACATCAGTAAATGTTCTTATTCGTATCTGTTATTTTAGGATTATTTATTATCTGTTTATTAATATTTTGAATTAGATTTGTGCTTTTGCCATTTTTAATATTTTTAATATTTTTATTTTCAGTTTTTCATCTGATACCTATATTTTATTTTTCAGCATTCAGTTAAAAAAGACGATTTTAATTGCTTTATAAATGAATAAAATAAAGAGGAATTCAACATTAAAGACATACTCTTCCCCACCTGCCAGGTGAAGTCAACACATCCTCTGCAATATTTCCTCCGTGCCTGAAATGTGTCTGCACATTGCCGAGTGTGAACTTTCCCAGGCTGACGGTGGCCCTCTGTTCTCCTCAAACTGAATTACACACCAGGCTTCATACTCACAATAAAGAGTAATCGGATTGGCAGGCCCCATTAGAGAGGGCTCCGTCATCTCCAGGGGCGTTCTTAAACCACTTTCTCGTGGACGCTCCGCCAGGAGTCATCCGTCCCGACTGTCAGCCTCCACCACGACTCTGACAGCTATCAAATCTGTTCCTGCCCCATCCTCCTTCAATCTGCGTGGCTCTCTGCTCCTCCGTCAAATCCCCCTCTCTCTCCGTTCATGACCTGGAGGAGCCGGGCTCTGTCTGGATGTTTCACGAAACCTGCTTGAGACTACCTACCCTATTCATTTAATTATTTGCACTTACTTACTGACTTAAATATGATAAAAAAAACTTCCTTATTTCCTTATCTAAAAACGCTTTACTGAATATAAAGAGCGTATGCTGTTCTGTGTCAGCTGTCAGCCGAGTGTGAACTTTCCCAGGCTGACGGTGGCCCTCTGTTCTCCTCAAACTGAATTACACACCAGGCTTCATACTCACAATAAAGAGTAATCGGATTGGCAGGCCCCATTAGAGAGGGCTCCGTCATCTCCAGGGGCGTTCTTAAACCACTTTCTCGTGGATGCTCCGCCAGGAGTCATCCGTCCCGACTGTCAGCCTCCACCACGACTCTGACAGCTATCAAATCTGTTCCTGCCCCATCCTCCTTCAATCTGCGTGGCTCTCTGCTCCTCCGTCAAATCCCCCTCTCTCTCCGTTCATGACCTGGAGGAGCCGGGCTCTGTCTGGATGTTTCACGAAACCTGCTTGAGACTACCTACCCTATTCATTTAATTATTTGCACTTACTTACTGACTTAAATATGATAAAAAAAACTTCCTTATTTCCTTATCTAAAAACGCTTTACTGAATATAAAGAGCGTATGCTGTTCTGTGTCAGCTGTCATGTGGATACGTTGTTTTCGTTCAAATCAAAGCGTAAACAACGCAGCTGACACAGAATAGCATACGCTCTTTACGTTCAGTGGATATTCTCAAAAATGGCACCAGGGCACGCGGAGGAGATGAATTGATGAATAAAGTCATTATTTTTGTTTTCTTTGCGTACAAAACGTATTCTCGTAGCTTCGTAAAATTACGGTTGAACCCCTGATGTCACATGGATTATTTTACCGATCTCCTTGCTACGTTTCTGGACCTTGATCGTGGTAATTACATTGCTGTCTATGGGAGATTCTGTTTGAATTCATCAAAAATATCTTAATTTGTGTTCCGAAGATGAACGGAGGTCTTACGGGTTTAGAACGACATGAGGGTGAGTAATTAATGACAGAATTTTCATTTTTGGGTGAACTAACCCTTTAAATGATATGTCTGTATTATGTTACCTGAAAAATGTTCATTAACTGGAAGACTGAGTGATAATATTTCAAACTGATTTCTGTCATTTTGACATAGCCTAACAAATATTGTGTTTACTTGCTTTAGAAACATTCCATTAGCCTACACACTGCTAATAGGGATAAAAAAGTAAAAAGTGAAAATTACATTTTAAAGCATCCTTGAGAAAACAAACCTGGAAAGAGACATAAGGATTTGGGGAGAAAAACAAGAGATTCATAAGAAACAGTAGGCTAATGCTAATAAGTGCATTCCAGTTAATTATTCATGGGATGCAGGCCTGTTTTAAATTAAACTGGGAGAGCAGACCACAAATGTACAGTATGTTGTCTTTTTTCATACTATTACAGCGGGATACAGCTGAAGTCTAGCACATTCACAGAAAATGGCTTACTTCTGCTTTGCAAAATAATCTGGATAGCTTAGATGTGAAATTGAGGTGAGTTGAATCATCGGTGACTCCTTCCTTTCCTCCTCGTTAAGCAATACAAAGTTCAAATCGTCATTAGAAATCGTTGGAGTTCTTCTCACGAGGGGAGTGTTTGTGGTGTTTTGCCGTGTCTTCCCCACTGGGGGGCTGAGTGTTGGTTTGTGCAGCGGCTGCTTGTGATGAATGAGCTGAGGGCGTGTTTTCATTAGGCAGTTTAATTTGGAGCACAATTAGACTTCATCCTCTTTTAGAAGACAAAGCAGATTCTAAAGTTGTTAATTAAAAGGCCGAGTTGCAGACAGTGAAGATGGATGTGAACGGAGGGAATCCTCTCCAACAACAACAACACTGCACCCCAAATCAATTTATCCTTGTCTAACTAGCTGCTGTCCTCTCCCCATTAAAAACTAGTTGGTAATCACTAGTTCCACATTTTGTCTTCTCTGTTCTGATTTGTTTGTTTCATTTTCGTTCCTTGCCTCATCTCCTCTGCTGTTGTCTCGTCTCTTTTCTCCTCACGTCTCTTTTTATCTCCTCTCATTCACCTCTCCTCTCCTCTCTCTTCTCTTCTCTATGTTTTGTTTTTTTCCTCATCTCATCTCTGCTCCTCTAATTTCATCTCATCATGTCTCATTTCCTTTTTCATGCTCTTTCTCATCTCGCCTCCTCTCCTCAGCTGTTGTCTCATATCCTCTCCTCTTTTCTCTCTTCTGTTCCTCTCATGTTTCTTTTCATCCTCTCTTCTTTCTTCTCGTCTCATGTCCTCCCTTTTCATCTTTTGTTTGCTCTGCTCTCATCTCATCTCGCCCCCTCTTGTCTCGTTTTCTTCATCTCTTCTCTTCTCCTCATCTCAGCTGTTCTCCTCTTGTCTCATCTCATCTCAGCTACTTTTTCTGTCCACTCTAACCTCCACACCCAAAGCCGTGTTTAACATGTTATATATTAATGATGACCTCGGGTCGGATTCAGCTCAGCGCTTTCTTAATTGCGCTGCTCCTGTGGGACATTTAACTAAATCACTTTGCAAATAACAATACAGCTGCTCATAAAAACAGCGACTCTGAAGTGCACAAAAAGAAAACACAGGTTTCAAAACAGCACGTATCTCATCCGCCGTGACACAGGATGTTTTTTACAAACCGTCGCGAGAGTCCGTAAGGCCATCAAAACCAAGAAAGCATGCTTTGACGGACACGGCACATCCCATTTGTGTCCGTTTTACAGTCCCTATAAACCTTGGCGACAAGGGAAGTGAGACAACGTCTCTTCGCTCCAAAGCATCTGTGCGAAATCGGCACCTGCTGCGGTGGCGCGGGGAGTGAATCTTCTGGAGGAAATGGTTTATGAAGTACTAAATCTCGATGTGGAGACGGATGGAGTGTTTCTAGCCCTTGTCCCTGCATGCTGATGGGACGGACCTGTCCCTTCAGGTTAACGCTGAGATAAAATGAAGGCCTAGGTAAAAGATGACACATTTACGAGGAGGAACGTTCGTAGGAAGGGAAAGAGGAATTACCCATAATTCTTTGCGAATGTATTTAGTGAAGTATCTTTTACAGAAGTAACAATATGAATTTTTGATGATGGATACCGAGTCTAGTCAATGCTAATCGCTCACAAGCTCGACAGAAAGAGTGAGAAGAAAGAACAGTAGATGTGTAGACACGTCGCAGATGGGGAGGGAAGAGTGTCTCGGTTTGATTTACGATGCTGTCGTTCGGTATCCTCTCAGGTACCTGTTGTCTTGCTTTCATAAAGCCAGCAACACAGACACATACACTCTTTAGCCTTCCAGCTCCATTCATCAGCACAGAAGGTCCCCGTTCGGCTCTTTTCATCTCAGACGCACTCGCTCAGGCCCTTTGCAAGCACTCTTCTTTACATGACCAAATCAAACCGGTCAGAGATCTGCCCCTGCGATAACCTCCAGCCTCTTTGTGCTGTAAGGTTAGTCCCGCTATGTATCCAGCTGCCACACGCAGTCACCGCGAACAGATATCTCACTCTGAGCTGA